AGCTTGTCCGAATCTGTTGATAGGTCACTCTTTTGTCAGTCTCTATCATACGCCGCACAACACAGATGTTATCTTCAGTCGTCGCCGTAGAAGGCCGTCCCTCACGTAAATCATCAGTGAGATTAGTGCGACCACGTTTAAACTCATTAAACCAGTTGTAAACAGTCGCACGAGATGGGGCTTCATCGTGAAAGGCCAATCGTAGTCTATCATAACTTTCTTGTTGACTTAAATGACATCGAAAGTCATAAAAAATCATTGCACGAAAATTTTCTCGTGTTAAATTCATGATGACGTGACACAGACAATTTTCAATTTGCCGCCAAATCGTAAAACAAATGACAAATGAATGAAATATATACTCAGTAATATTGGCAAAGAGTTATATTTTCAAATTTTAGAATTATTTTTTTATTATATTGTTTATAAGTGGCCAGTTCTAAGAACTTTCAGTTTGACCTCGTATTACACAAAAGTAAGGTTATGGTTTCAGTCGGTCGTCTAAAGGACATTCATTTTTATGTGAATTTTTATTAAAAAATAATAAGAATAAAATAAAAGACGAAAATCTTTTTATTTCTGTGACCCTGGATCACAAAATTTAGATGACATGAACCAAAGGACCTGCAGTATCTAATAATATAATGGAAAACATTTTCATACTTAAGTACTTAATCATTTTATTAATTTTAATATTGCTTACCATCATACTATCATTCGCTAATGTAGGCAGCAACATGATTTCAGTAGTAGAAGACAGTTCATCACTATCGAAATAAGAGAAGAACATCCCTAAACCTTTCGCTGCAGTCGTCTTTGTTCCTTTCAAGGTTTGCTCTGTTGCTTTTAAGCTAGAAATTTAAAACTTTACACTATGACACGATATTACTAAAGATAGACAAATTTCAAGAATGTAATCAAATTTAATGGAAGGCCATTTGGGAATAATTGATTTCTCTAACGTAAATGTTTGTTTGTTTGCACTATAGGCTCCGAAACTGATTGATTGATTTAAAAAATTCTTTCACCTAAGGGTAGTTACATCATACAGAGTTGATATAGACTATAATTTACACGTGCGAAGCGAGAAAAAAAGCTAGTATAGTAAATGTGTATGTACGCAAATGAAGTTCTGATCCAAAAGTGAGTCGTTAAAGCACTTGTATTATTACAATCAGAAACGTATAGGTTGTCACGACCAAAATACTTGTATTTTAAAATATAGATAAGCTTGGTCTCTGTTGGGAGGAGGCCCATGTAGAAATTTTTTGCGGGTTCCATGTATCGAACACTGACCGGTTAAAATAGTTACTATCTTGAACTCCTCCCGCCTTGGAAGGCACCCGTAGCAGTTGGTTACAGCTTCATCTGCAGTTGTTAACACCTACCAATCCGCACTAATGCTACATGGAGGGTTGTGACTTGATCTCCTTAATTATCTCATTTGATTCCTTCCGTAGAGAAGGCCTATGCCCAGGCCTATACCCAGTAACGGGAAAAATAATATTCAAATAATGAGCTTAGTTTCTGGAATTTAACTATAGAAGGGGCCGTCCAGTAATCACGTGAGTCTCGAAAGAGGGGTGAGGGGGTTTGTCAAAAATCACTAAATATCAAAAGGGGGGAGGTGGGTGTAGTAATATATCACGTGTATTAATTTTTTCCTCAAACGCACGATTACTTAACCGAAAAGCAGCGTCAAAAATTAAGTTTTTTTGTAAGTACTAAAAAAATACAAGGGATTTGGGTGGAGGAGAGGGGGTTAGTCTTAAACCTCACCATGTATCACCAAAAAATGCTGAACAAACATCACGTGATCAATGGATGGCTCCAAAGCTATTTATTTACTGTTATTTGATTTTAATTAACAGGCTAATAAGGTAATTTTTTTATGCAATTAACTAAATTAAATTTATTACCACACAATCGCCATAGTTAAAGCTGAGTCAATTATTTTTATTTAAAATTCACGCAGTTTAGTTAGAGTTTAGATGTAATAAAAAGAGCCACTTACTCTTTTACACGTAGCCGTAAGATGTTATCCTCCGATAATGACAGGTTATATTCATCACACAGTAAAACATCAATTGCTTGCACCTTTTCAGTGCCGACTCCAAGTTTCTCAAGGGTCATATCATCAGTCATATGTTCTGGCAATCGAATGTCTATAAGAATAAAATTTAGGTAAGTAACTTTAATAGATTTTCCAAATTATAATTTAACTTACATCTAACTATAGAGTAATAGTGATTTGGTTTCTGTTAAATACATATATTATCACAATTAATGTTTATCTCTGCTTACACAATCAATGAAATTCTATTTAGGTATATATTATATTATGTGCAATTACTAACCTGCAATAGTTGCTATTCTATGCAGCAGTGAATTCTGTGAATTTTCAACATTCGTCATAATTATAGTTTCCTTAGAGCATAGAGCTGCTTCAAAAGCATCGCAAGCCAACCGTGAAGTAATTCCATCGTTCGTAGTTCCTTCTAGTGACGTAATCTATATAAAAAAAAATAATTGAGAAAGGTGTACCTCAAGGATCAAAGTTAGGTCCACTTTTTCTCTGTAATTTAGTAAACTGATATTATCTTCTTTTTATAATTGTATAATATGATTGTGATAACAATGAATTATTCCAAATCATAATCATGATTCAATTTGATCTCATATCCTTACCTTTTTAATCGGTGGCAAACATATTTTTGTAGCTGGTAGACCTTTTTGTATTCTTGCAATGCATATTTCGTTACCAAATTCACCATTTGTGCTTATCACGCCAAAGTATCTTAAATAACAAAATAATATAATTTGTTAGAATGGTTTGGTTTTGAAGTCTTCATTTATAATATTAAAATGACCTGTATTAAAGTTAGTATGCAAAGTCACGACATATTGGACAAACCAGAATCGACTATCATTAATTATTATGGAAAGCTCGTTACAGTTAAGTATTATAGCGACTTGCTACAATTTGAGACAAAAGATCGATAGAATGAATGAACTTTTGAACGGTTTCATCGCGTTTGTATTTAGTTTTATTGACGTTTTGGACCCTTTACAGTTTCCGTGTTCACATACGACTTATGTGTATGTGTTGAGTCAAAAGTTGTTTTATTTATGAATAGAAAATATGAGAAATCAATAGATCGATAGAAAAGAAAATTGGCTAAGTACTTACTTTATCGAGGAACAAAGTTTTCTAGAAATTTCATCTAAATTACTCAGTACACGACGGTTTGTCTCTGGATTAGATTCAGAAGTGACGAAATAAATTCCTTCTACTGTGCCCATATTGTTAGCATTTGTAATCATATCAATTAGATGCTTGTCGCCTTTGAGTTCACCAGGGTATAATTTTGCATCTACGCCTATATTTTGCCATGACCTAAAATCATTCACATTAAGTTAATGTTAACGAATATACACATCAAAGAGTTATACAAATAATTATAACAATAATCAACTTACTGTTTCTTATACAAAGCTAGTCCCGGTAAACTTGGTAATTTTAGAAGCAGTTTTGTTGCACCACGTTTCACCAATTTATCAGCTAATTGGATACCAAGAATCTGATCGTCGGCAACCACTACGTGTGTCATATCCTGGCTGCAGATAATCCTAACCAAAAACATAATAATTGTTATAATGAATGATTAAATTCACTATCAGGTGCAGGACACTGGGTAATAGTATTAATTTAAATAATGTTGAGTATATACAATAAAAAATATTAAATTATAAATATTTGCTAAAAATATAATTAAGTAATTAAGAATCAATTGCATGAAACCTTAGATAGTAATGATAGACAAAGACACGAGTAGGTAACTTGGTAATTAAAACCAGATTGCGTAACTAAGATATAAGTATGAGTATTGTTTCGGCGCTTGTGCCTGTAGTGATAGCTATATATGTACCTGGGTATCGCGTGCGGCGCGTGTTGTAGCGTCAGCAGCACGCGGCCCCTGTGCTGGCTGACCCTCAGCAGACGGAAGATATAAGTACGAGTATTGTTTCGGCGCTTGTGCCTGTAGTGATAGCTATATATGTACCTGGGTATCGCGTGCGGCGCGTGTTGTAGCGTCAGCAGCACGCGGCCCCTGTGCTGGCTGACCCTCAGCAGACGGAAGGCGCGCGACGCGTCGCTGGCGGCGTACACGACGCGCGACAGCGGCCTCACGTACCCCTCACGTATACCCTCGCTGATCAGGTACTGCAACTTCTGTGCACGGAATGTTACTGTCTCCAGTGTACAACACGCTTTGGACATTTTTTGTTATGCTCAAAATTTGCATTTTCATGTCACGGCAGTTGATTAATGTCGACATCGATGCCTACTATATATGATAAATAGTAAAACTATCATAATTTTGAAATATTAGCGAATGAATATATCTCATCACATGCAACTTTCAGGATCAACATATATCTGACGGTAGATCCGTAAAGCGTCTCGCTAAACTATAGGTCGGTACCTACACTAAGGATCACCCATCTAGTGTTCAAGGTTCGATATCAATAATAATCTATTTGTTTCTTCACACGTTCCGCGTCCAATATTACGTTACGCATCTATAATAAGATAAGTGGCGACCATAGACAACGTACTGTGGGGCTGTCAAAAATGGCTTTTTAAAAATACTTATTTTAATTTTCACTTGATTTCTTTTATATGAACAACACGATGTAATAGACGATTTAAGAACAATACGTTGTCCGACGGGAGTCCAATCCAAACTAACTTTAATTAATATTATTATTGTAGTCAAGGCTCGGTTTCCTATTGCATAACCACAACACAAAAGGGCACGTTAATGTTGCGTTTTTCATTTTAAGAGTAACAAATACAAATTATATTAACAGTACTGACCAGGATATCAACTTTATTGTTGAAAATCGTCGAGAAGTCAACACAAATATAACTTCTGTCGAAAGTTAAGTGGCTTAATTTGAATGAATATTTGTCGTCCCTCTGAATTTGAATAGTATCAATGAGTGCACCGCTTGGAGCCACGCAGCTTATGGAAATCTGAAAAAAATTACAAAATATCTAACGTGTGTATTTTACACGACAATATTATACTAAATTTATGTTATAAAACCAGTTATTGTCGCCATAAATTTACCGGCATTCATAAATATATGAAAGTAGTCAATTACCCTAAAATTTTGTTGTTATCTCAACGTACTTCATTCTGTTTATAATGCAAGATTATTTAAATAATCATATGTGTTATAAAAATGCAAAGAAGAGTTCAAAATAAAAATATATATTTAAAAAATGATTTATCTAATAATCACGATTTAAAATAACTAAAATAAATTACTTCTCAGGAAGGAATTTAAAAAAAACATTATTATTTATTGTCCACCATAATAAATTCCAGGTACATTAACGAACACCAAATCGAATAGCTTATTGCATAAAAATATAATTACAAACGACGAAATGAAAGTCCAATCTTAAATATCTATATCTCCTTTTTGGTCATGATAATAATAAAAACTTAAGAAAATACTTCAACAATTACTTTTTTAAAGTATTGTAAAGTAAAATAATCGGTTTTTAATTCAGACCTAATGTATCGAACAAAATAACGATCACGAAGATAACATTGCACTAATTCAAGTAGAATCTCTCATAATTTTATTTATTTAAACTGCTTTGCATAAATAAAGCGTACACATGGCGGACTTAATATCAGTTCTCTACCATTCAACCGGATACTTATGAAATAGAGAATTCTATAAGGCGAAAGAAGGACTTTTTTCATATTTAAAATAATCTAAGGATTTCCCTCATCTGATCAACTTCGGAAACGAGTTTCGTAGCTTGTAATGTAAATGATTGGCAATAAAATTTTGTATAATGTAGAGGTATGTAGTTACATGGAAGGCTAGCGACTATTTATATATTTTATGCTATTGCAATAAGTATCATATCATGACACACTTACATCTCTGAGGTCACTCTTTATGCAATTGATAACATAAGTTACTCCTAAGCCTTTTGTACGGGTATGCACCATATCCTTGAAAGAAGCGTCCCTCGAGTTTCCAATGTGATCCTCTGGAAGAAATAATTGTCATATTTGATTGTAGAACTAAAAAAGAAATTATGTTCAGAACTTATAAATCGTTTATCGTATTTCTCATTCAGTTGGTTAGGGTTTCTCTTCAAAACTTAGAGCATGCAGTAACCAAAACGATGTAATAATATATATATATATATATAATAACCAAAATGTAATTAAACCATGACTGAATGGCTCGTTCCATGTCCGACATCTAACATGTTAGTATACTGTGTCGTTGAGCTATAAATAATTAATTGCCATATGACACGTAATAAAGCGGGATTATTCTACATATATTTATATAAATTTTATAGTTTTGCAGTAGTTGTAATTTACTTTTGTTGGATGGTGCTTGGTTTGATAAAATTATTATTATGATTAGTACGTACCTCTCAATTCTGGAAATAGTTTCATCAAGAAATGCTTTTTGCGGATGTCGCTAACCGTAGCAAACACTTGAAGTCCGTGAGCCAAAGCTATAGATATAACGGCCTGACCGAGCGCACCGGTACCACCGTGGACGAGGATACTATACTTGCTGAGCATTCGCACTTTTATTGCCTATACAATAGAGAAAGGCATTAAATAGAGGTTTTCACGGTGATTAGAGCGATATAACTTCATATTTTATTATTTGGTGTATTTGTACTATCCCTTCACACTACTTACGAGACAGTAAAATGCAAGAGCATATGGCAAAGGTACAGTAGCTGCATCTTCCATCGTCCAATGTTTGGGAACAGGCCACAAGAGTTCAGGTGACGCCATCACACGACTGCTCGCTGCACCAGACGGAACTAATCCCATCACTTGTACACCACTGCCAAATAATAAACACATAAAAATCTTTCTAACTTTCTGGAAATCGATATTATATAATATTATGTTTAGTTTTACGGGTTAATGAAGTAATTATAATATTTATTCTTATATAAGCTTTTTATTCTGAACTTCGAATACATTTTCTTAAAATGAATTTCGTACGACCCTACAAAATATCTCGTAGTTCAGTGTGCCTCTTGGCGTAGGCCTCCTCCAACAGTTTCCACTGAGTTCTAGCCTTCATTACCCTTCTCCAATGATATTCAGCTGTGAGTTGAAGATCATTTTCCATCTCATATCGCCGGTGAGTGCTTGATAAAGAAATGACTTGGCTAGATTTCTCCAATCGTTTTGAATGTCATCCCAAAGTTAACCCAATCCTGTTTTCGGAAAAGGCTTTCCAATACAGCCAAAAAGTATTTCGGCGATAAATGATCTCCCTGTCTCACATCTCATTCAATCTTAAACTTTTTACCTGAGCTTTCAAATTGTATCTATGCTTCACTGTTTGAGTATATGTTTTTTAGTTATTACAATATATTATATAGGTATATCTTGTTGTTTTAGGCTCTCCCGTATAGCTTTATGGCTTATGCTGTCGAAGGCTTTGGAATAGTCTATGTATATTTTATACAGGTTTTTATTATATTCCTTTTAATTTTCTAGAATTTGTTTTACTTTGTGGATATGGTCTAGAGTTGAGAATCTTCGTCTGAAGCCTGCTTGTTCTCCTAGTTGGTTCTCGTCAAGTTTCTTGCTTATTCGTTCCAGAATAAGTTTTGACAAAACCTTATAGATATTTGACATCAAGCTTATGGGTCTGTATGTAGTTATCTAATTTTTTTTGTATTTTTGCTCTTTCTTGTATACAAGGATGATATGGGATTTCTTTCATTGATTGAGGTTTATACAAGACTTCATTATTTCGTTAAATATTGTAGTAGTTCTTCAATAGTTTTTTTCAGAAGCTCGTTTGTGGTTTTGTCCGGACCTGGCGTTTTATCTATTTTCTGGCTATGTAAGGTTTCATAATCTCACTTTGTTGCTATTTTTATGGCTCGAGCACAAATGCTCGTAGAATTTTGTAGCTATTTTGTTATTATGCTTTCTGTTTGTAGCTGTATTTTCCTTTTTGTTTAATTTTGGTATTTATATATTCCCCCTGTTCTTCTTATGTGGTGTTCCAGTATTTGAACCCTTTTTTTTTCTCTTTTTTATGTTTAATTGTTTTTTTTTTCACTATAAGCGATAGGGTTATATCGCTCAGTCTATACTTGTTTTCTGTCTTGGTTCCGTTGTGGACTAGTGATAGACGTTTCTCTAGCTTGCCATATTGTGTAGGTATATCGTAATCCATCTCGCTTTGTCATTTCTTTCTTTATTCAGCGGAGACTCAGGTCCATTTATGTTTCCTGTTTTTCTTGAACAAGCTGTTGAGGAACCTTGTCTTTTTGTAGGAATTCGATAAATAGTAATACGCCAGTCAGGCTTCTTTTTCCCTGCCCAAAGTTTCCCAAGACATATTTACTTGCTTTGTTTTGTACTTATATGCATTTAGATTGTGTTACGGACGCAAGTCTCGTCGGTTTTTAAATATTAGATCTTAAGTAAATAATATATATATAATAAGTAGGTTTAAGTCAAATGTATGTAGTCAAAGGTAATATTAAACAATACAATCTGGGTGTATTTATTCCTATAATGTTAAGGTAATTCAAATTATAGCATGAGCTAATTAAATGATTATTAAGGGTTGAATTTTAATTTCCTATGGTATGGTTCTCTTTAAGGTATTACCTCGCTAAGGAGGCTTAGGTGGCTCTCTGTATGGTATTGCCTCACTAAAGGGGTTTATGTGGTTTTCTATACGGTATTGCCTCGATGACAACAGATGTAAATTATCTACCCTACGTTTACGAAAAAATGTATCAGAGCTAGACGGCGCTAGTTTACGCGGGATCTTCCGTCTCGCTCTGACCACATAAATACGTCGGGCAAGAGCGCGGCGCGCCTAAAAACGATTATGAACTTCGACGGCGCGGTCTTGTCCGACACGATGCGAGTTATGAATGAATGTTTTTAACATACTTTGTAATGTAAATAAGTAAAACAGTAAAGTGTATTTGATAACGATAATGTGATACATAGATGTTAAGAGTGGGGGTGGCTTCGCCAAGTAGGGGTACAATGTGTAATATGATAACAAACTGGTTATGTACGGAGCCCCAGCAAATGTAAGACCCGTCTTACATTTGCTGGGGTTTGCTGGGGTCTTGAGCAAGGGGGATCTGGGGGATTTGAGCAATTTTTGTAAGCTCTCCGGCCCTCAAGATCTGAATAAAGAAGAAGTGAAAATTATCGAAGGAGTTTTAATTCTACAGTCCAGCATCGGCTAGCTACGTTGAATCTGTTCAAGATTCAGGAAGATCCGCAACATATTAGATATGATATTATAAATCTAGGATTTAATTTTCATTAACTTGCTTATAAGTTCATATTATATAATTACCTTTCGTTGACACCGCTAAAGTCCATCCCATAAGAAATTTTAGCAAGATCAGTTTCCTTCTTCTTACCAGATGTTCCAGTGGCTATCATTGAGTCCACAGTATTCAGTGCAGCGTACTGAACCTAAAATGTATTTTAAATTCAAATGAACTCATACCAAATCCAGTATCAATTGTTTGCGATAGGTTCATAGATGGATTTTTAAATAATTTTATTGGATTATTAAGGCTTTCAACTGACCGTAACAGGAATTCCAGATGCAACAGGCTCCTTTGTTTCAATCCAAGTAAGAGAATTCAGATCACCAACACTCCTACTTCGTAAACTAAAATAAGGAGACGCTATTTGTTTACCTTTCAGTGGTACATAATACTCTCCACCCAATACACCCTAAAAATTAAATAGTATGAATTAATATTATAGGTACAACCACGTGGACCAAAATACATAAAACGCTGTAACGATGAGTACTTTTTAACCGACTTTTAAATCGATACATGTTCGACGGCGATATATTTAGGTGAAATCGATAAAATATGCTTTTTATCGATTTTACCTAAATATTTATATGATAATATGTTTATATCTAAACATCAAGAGATCGCGTATTTTGAATTCATTCAAAATCGGAAAGTTTTTTGAAAAATTTTCTATGTTAGTGGATATGTATATTTTTTCGGGAGCTCTTCCGTGCCCCCAGATATATTCGAAATCGATGAACATATCGCTATTATAGAAAATCTGCCTTTCTTGAATTGTAAGCAAATGAAACTAGCTGTTTCGTTACTAGCCGCGAATTTGTTTCCGAAAATTATAACCTATGTCCCCCGTGTATTATGTAGCTTCCGATAGATAAAAGAAATATATCGGTCCAATAGTTTAGGAGCTTATCCAAATCAAACAAACAAGCAATCAAATCTTTCCTCTTTATAAGTATAGATTATTGGAAAAAAATAAGTCGACCAAACAAGCAAATGTTGACATATTTTCATATAGATATTTAATATTTTTAGTTTACTTATTTTAAAGAAATAAAGTTTTGTTTTTAAAAAAACTAGAACTGACTTCAAGAAACTGCTTAATATAATAATAATGAGAAAAACTCCGCGTGACTTCAATAGAATTTTCTTAAATAAGTCAAAGTCAAAATAGTCTTTATTCAAATAGACTTTTTAAAAGTACTTTTCAATCGTCCAACATTTTCCCTACCACTCGTTCAGGACGTCTTTTGGCTGGTAAGAAGAACGAGCAAGAAACTCACTAGCCCTAATAGGAGTAATGTCATTTACAAAAACCATGTCCTTACCAGATCAATACATTATAAATAAAGAGAAAGAAAAAAACATATGGTCTTATAATGATAACATAATAATTTAATAATAATGGAAGCAAGATAATTTTTTATATATAATAAGTTAAGAAGTAATCACTATCCAGTTACTGGATCATCTCGAGTTTAAACATTCTTATCTGTTATATAATCGGATACCTTATGATAAGCTTTTTTTAATAATAATATTTTTTAATAGTAGATTTAAACTGCATGATATCTAATTGTAGTATTTTGCTTGGGACCTTATTGTAGAAGAACACACAAAGACCCTTGAATGAGTTATTAACTTTTTGGAGTCTAGTGTCAGGCACCGTTAATTTATTTTTATTTCTTGTATTAAAATTGTGTACATCAATTTTTATAGAAATCAAACTAATATTTTTACGAACGTACATTAACTTTTTGTATATGTATTAAGACGCAACAGTTATTGTCTATTTCCTTAATTTTTTCTCTTCAAGAGTCCCTAATCCTAAGATTATAAATTGATCGAATTGCTCTTTTCTGAAGCACAAAAATTGTTTGTATGTCGGCAGCATTTCCCCACAATAGGATTCCGTACGACATTACACTATGAAAGTAACTGAAGTATACTAATCTGGCAGTATCTATGTCAGTTAACCTATGTTTTTTCATTACGGCATATGCTGCAGAACTAAGTCTACTCGACAGTTTATCAATATATGGGCCCCACTATAGTTTAGAATCTAATGTTATTCCCAAAAATACTGTGGTATCCACAAGGCCCGTGTTCTTATCTTTTATATTAACATTTATACCTACTTTTTTAACATTAGGTAGTACAAATTTTAGGCATTTTGTTTTTCCTTCATTAAGGAGAAGATTGTTTACATTAAACCAATGTACTACTTTAGCGATAGAATTGTTCACATCGACATTAAGAGGTAGCCCTCTTTTAATTTTAAACAAAAGTGAATTGTCATCCGCAAACAAAACTATCTCGTGATCATCCCTTACGAAATAAGGCAAGTCATTTATGTAAATTAAAAACAAGAAAGAACCAGTTATTGAGCCCTGCGGAACACCCATCTTAATTTTCGATCCAGGGGATCTTTTGCCATTAATATCAACCCTCTGTACTCTGTCAGTCAAGTATGAGACAATACAATCCAATGAGTTATCTCTGAATCCATGATAATGAAGTTTCCTAATCAATGTTTCATGGAAAACACAATCAAATGCCTTAGATAAGTCGCAGAAAACACCTAACCTAATGTTTGTATTTGATCCAGCATGATTTTTTCAAAATCTTTCTAAACGTAGGTAGTACGGATATAGGTTTAAATATAGTAGGGTCAGATGTTCTACCCGTAAAAGTCGTTTTTGAAATAAGTATTATTTATTACATTTTCAATGTCCAAAGTCGGTTCTATTTTTTGAAAAAACTTTTATTAATTCGTAGCGTCGTATTAGGGATAGCGTTTTAAGAAACCTGTCACTTTTAAATCAAATAGTCAAAAATCAAATATCAAATAGACTTTTTAAAAGAGTACTTTAAAATAGTCCAACTTTTTTTTAACCTTTGAGCGAAAAGTGACAATGTCAGTGAACCATTTGATCAGTTCGTTATTATTCGATCACTCAGCACATAAATGAGTATATTTATATAATATATGATATTAATTACAAGTGATTTCTTTAGGGTCCAAAAAAGTTGTTTTGACATTGGCAGTAAATGTAATTTAATTTAGAAAGTTTTGACTTGAAAGTGTAATTTTTTTTTATACTTACATCGTCAAGTACGTTGATTCCTAGTTCCAATTCTGGCAGTTCAACTAAATTGTGATCTTCAACTTTGCTATGATTTACCATGACTAAGTAAATATTATTGCGTTCTGCTTCTTTCCTCCAGAGTTTAACTAATTCTTTGACACCCGGTACTGGTGGGTAGGAAGTTAACACCAATAGCTTATGGTTAGGTGGCAAACAGTTTCTCGTTGAAGAGAGCATCGCTAAATCACTCTGTGTTCTTATTGTAAGTGCTGTTGTCGACGTTGGTGAAGTCAATCGCCATATTAATAGATTTAGCATAACGCCACAAGCATTTTGTGACGCTATTACGCGATAAATATTGGATGACCTAGTACTTGTGAAATCCTGACAGTTTTCTTCTGCACTTAAAATGAAAACATTGTTTCTCAAAACCGCATGCAGGAACTCGCACATCTGTAACAAAAATGGTAGAATCGATCGTTATATAATTTATTTCATTTATATAATTGATTGTTTAACATATATCTTTTTTTAGATATTGACATTAATATGACTTACTTTGTCATCCACAGCAAGACTTTGGACTAATATTAAATCAATATTTTTCAATAACTCTCGCGTTACATCCTTCAAGTTAAGACGACGTGAGGCGACTTCCAGATCGGGTAAATTATATTTCCCAACATCATCAAAAATAGTACTTCTCTCTGTACTACTTACAATTTCTATTACATTTAAAACTTTTTTATTGACGTTTTCAGATACTATTTGAAGACACACCTCAATTGACGATTTCACCTGATAAAAGAATAAATATCTTTTTTTATATTAGTGTAGCTATATATTTTGACAAACTTTTACTTTGCTCAAAAAGACACAAAAGTTTACTTAATCTGTGTTTTTTGTGAGTTTTTCTTTGATTAAATTATATTCAACTTATTGATGGATTGGTGATCAACTAAATAAATATGTTGCCGATATGGTTTCCTATAAAAGAATAAAAATAAAATTTGCGGTGGGACTGTCTTTACCTTCGATAAATCGAGGTTACCGCGATAGACTGTATTATTTCCATTGTTTATGATTCGCACCTTCGATTATATAATTTAAAGATTGCATATTTCGCCAATAAACATTTTTTTGGGTTACACTAGATATATAATATTAATTGCTTATGTATGCTGTCTTTGCCTTTAAATATCAACAACAAACTGTTTTATACATGATAATATTGCTTTTATTTGTTATTATAAACGAAAATAAATAAATGTTATCGTAGCCAACAAATAACACCCTAAAATTGAATTGAAAAAAATATATCTTTGATGTTTTAACGTCAAAATAGAATCTTTAATTAACAATCTGATTATTTATTACTTACATCACCCGGTGAAAGGTTAAAATGAGGAACGAATTGTAGACTTCTTAAAATAGTTTGATCTGTATTTGACTGTGGTACATTATTAAATTTGATATTTTCCATTGTGATTCCTCCACATCTGAAAATTAATTTAGCATTATTATACAAGCTTCTAAATTAGCATAGTTTAACTAGTTACTCTCAAGAACATGATGATTATGAAATTATAGCTGACCACTAATATGTGTTGGTGTTTTAATTTAATAATTTTTATTTTTATCGACAGACTAGTGATTGTGGTTGAATTTATCTTTTAAAAAGCTGCATTTTTATAAATTGATTTAAAAAAATCAGGAATATATAAACAAAGCACTTCGACAAAGTTGAAAAGAATTATATATAATTACGGTTACGATCTATAGGCAAACATGTCGTTATAGAAGAATATGAACATACAATATTTCATAAAAATATGACATTATAATATTAAACATCATGTGACCACTGATAACAAATAAAATAAATAAATATAAGATAGCATCACATATCCCTAAATGAAGTAGCTAAAGTACTTATATATTGTGGAAACCCGAAACAACGAAGGCACTACTTATAATAAAATACAGAACAGATGGTTTTGGCCAGTGAGTATCATCATTGTTAACCATATATATTACTTCACCGTATATGGACTTTAAAATGTTGAATAATGACAAAAGTAATACCGTTGATGGCTATGATGTAACAAAGTTCAATTCCTCGTGATTCTTAAAACGACCAAAACTCGGTCCAAATCTTAAATTTGCTAAAAACTTTCACTATCAAACAATTTTTGCCAATACCTTGTCTTATCTGATATTTCATCTACATTAGCTGTAAGGAAATTATCCGGTTTTGCTATATTGTGCTGTTGGATATCGATACACATCTTTCTTATTCCCAAAGGTTTGGAGACAGCGTCATGTTTCTGTCTCAAAATATTCATCTGGAGCATGCCGTCAATTAAAGATACCCAGTTACTATCCCAAAGTAGTTTAGCCTCCGTGAGAGTGTCATCAACACCATATATACTACGGAACACACCTCTGCAAAATAAAATATAACCTTATCATATGAACTCTTGTATTGTCATAAATACTTCAATTCGTTCTTCAGTACTCAAGTCAGAAAATAAGATTTCGTTTCATCTTACCCATATGAAAATTCACGTTCAAAAAGAATTTGATATACGTCGTTGCTATCTAACGTCATATTTTTTTCTTCTATTTCTTCGGGAGTGCTACATACATCTTTTAGGCCTTCATTAATATATCCCGTAGCTATTATTGAATTTCCTTCCGTGACCTTAAAACACATTTTTATTTTAATATTTGAAACAAAAATTGAAAGGAATGGGTAATTTTTTGTATACACATCTAAATAAAGCCACGACACGAGGTGTCTTATCCTATTCTGGCCACCTGTCATATAGGATTCTTACGTTAATGTGTACGAGAAGAGTAGTTGAACGGTTAAATAAAATTATATGATTATGCGTTAACTAAAAAACATTAAAACACATTTAAGTGTTCATCACTTCTCAAAATCTTATAAAAACCAGGACCCGGTTCTTTCAGTAGCAATTAAAAATATCAATTTAAGAAGAAGTAGAGAAAATTATTCGCTTGTAATAAATATTAAAAAACTACCTAGATCACGTAATCCTAATTATTACTTACTTCAAAGCGACCTTCCCCTCTGTGTATCGCCACGTGGATCATCAGAGGCCTGTTTTCGTTAAAAACAGGCTGAGCGAAGAACTGAATGTCACGGAAAGTCACAGATAGTTCCTTTTTAGGTTTATTTGAGTACATCGCCACAGTATCCCAAACAGCAACCAACGCCGCCGAGAATGGATAAACCGTTTTTCCTAAAAAAAGTTACAATTTAATCTTCACTCTTTAAGGGAGAAATTTAAAGAAATAGACATAATGACTGTTGCTTCTCAATACATATACGAGAACTTAATGTTCGTAAAAATATAAGTTTGTTTTCTATAAAAAGTGATGTACACCATTTTAATACAAGAAATAAAAATAAATTAACGGTGCCTGTCACTAGACTGCAAAAAGTTAATAACTCATTCAGGGGTCTTTGTGTGCGCTTCTACAATAAGGTCCCAAGTAAAATACAACAATTAGATATCATGCAGTTTAAATCTATTATTAAAAAAGCTTATTATAAGGTATCCGATTATACAACAGATAAGAATGCTTGGACTTGAGATGATCCAGCAACTGGATAGGTAATTACTTCTTAATTCATTATATATAAAAAAAATATCGTGCTTCTATTATTATTAAATGATTATGTTATCATTATAAGACCGTTTGTTTTTTTTTTCTCTCTCTTTATTTATAATGTATTGATGTAGTTATGACATGGTTTTTGTAAATGTCCTATACTCCTATTAGGGCTGGTGAGTTTCTTGCTTGTTCTTCTTATCAGCCAAATGACGTCCTGAACGAGCGGTAAGGAAAAAAATGTTGGACGATTCAAAAGCACTTTTAAGAAGTCTATTTAAATAAAGATTATTTTGACTTTGACTTTGACTTTCATCACATTATGGTTCCATTGGTTGTGGATGTATCTTTCAGTGTAATTTACCTTTGATTACATGTCCACTCAAGTAATTGTGCTCGGGATCATGAAGACAAACCACATATTTGGCAGCAGCAGCAATTTTTCTATGTGCAGCAACATATAGAGGTAGAGGCCTACAAGCATCAACAATGCAAGGTTTAATATATATTTTAACAAGTTACCACATGTCATAATAATTAATTTTTATAATTACCATTTTTCATTATGGGCCCATTCTACAAGATGCGACATCATCGGTGTTTCTGTTGAAACTGGGAACTCTATCTTTGGATATAACACATTTACTTTAGGGTGATATCCTTCCATGAATAATCTGAAATTATACAATCGTATTTGATAAATTGTAGCTAGTATTATACAGTCGATGGTCATAATCAACAGCTTGATCGCTGTTTCATAAATAGTCTTTCATTATTTGTTCCAACTTATGATTAGATATTTATGTAACTAGAGTACTGACCGTATCGATGAATAAAGTGCTACTAATGTTTTTAGTCAACGAAGTTACAACAAATTTTACAATTTCTTTATGATCAGATTAATGTCAAATTGTGTAATATACTAGTATATTTACTTACTTGCCAATGCTTTCCAGCACCATTAATGCATTGTCTGGATGTCCTCGGCGGGTGAGCGGGATGTGTTTGCACGAGACTGGTAAGGAACGCTTCAAAATAGCTTGCAGCAGACCGTGGGGGGCTATTTCCACTAACACCGCGTTAGATGGAATTAAATGGGCTGTTTCTTCAAAAAGTACTGGATTCTGTAAAATATATCAGTAAAGCGATGTGAATAATCGTACGAAAAATAATTTGCTAAAAATACTAATCTTTATTTTGCCCTTAGTAACTAACCAGTAAGTTGTTAGTATGGTATTCGGCAGAAGATGTTTGAGCAGCTGGTTTATCCCACATATCTCTTGGTACCGAAGTCGACACCCATCGGTCGCTCCGCTTTTTTGGCGTCTTAATTACTTCGGACAAGTATTGCAGTAACCCAGGTCCTAGTTTGAACGTATAAAATATTTACGTATATGAGAAACTCTGATTAGGAAATCAAAAGAGTATAAAATTGGTATAACTTGTTCTGACTTTAAGTCAGCTGAACGGTAACAGGATTTTTAAGTTGTGACAAAGGTACATAGTGTCTACTTGAAGAAAAAAGGAAAATTCATGTGACCCATATTATGGTCATAACTTTTAATTTGGAAAATGAACAAAATATGATTGCTTTGGTTATTCCAATTTTACCTTTCACACTGCTTTCGTCAAGATTATGCATTTTATAACTTAATAGACTTTCCAATTTTGTTTAAAAAACTGCTTTGGTCTTTTATTCCCTATATATTACCAGCCTCAGCGATGTAACGGGAGTGATACGCAATGTTGGAGCACGGCACTTCCTTCGCGAATATTCCTTTGGAGGAGAGACTCGCCACAAACTCCCTCATCAAGTCTGCGGGTCCCGATATGGTGCTGGACTCTGACGAATTATGGCAAGCTACTTCGATTTCAGGAGGAAGCATGTCCTTGATCTGATAAACAAATAAGAGCATAAGCTTTTTTGACTTTGACTCACGTCATCAAGTAATAATTTTTAGCAGTACAACCAAATCACATTATTTTATAATATTGTTTTCATCAATCCTTACATCTTGATAGCCGATACCAACTGCAGCCATCGATCCGCGGATGAACGGTGTCTGGATTGAGACAAGTCCACGGCTGTAAGCGGATAGAATCATTTCCTCAGCGGTGAAACAACCATCAGCGTACGCGCAACCGAGCTCACCGACACTGTGACCTGGAAGTTTATGTCTTCATATAGCGTAAATAATTAGCAGTATAAAATGCTACAGAGTTTATACACTATGTTTTTTTTTAAATATTTTCATCTATATTGACATATAACAAGACACTTTGGTATGAAACCCCAGTTTATAAATAAAATGTATCCTAAAATATCATTCTGAACGAAATAACACTCTAATTTAGTTATTTCTTGGATGATAAATACTAACCGATAATTTTATCAGGTACCAGTCCAAGCTCCCGGAGAACATCCGTTAGTCCGATCTGTACGGCAGCGATACCAACAAACGAGTGAAGTATGTTGTCGAAGATTTTCTTGTCAGTAGAAGTTATGATATGGACTAAGTCAATCCCTTTCGGTTCGAGAGCTCGCTGGCATCTGGATTTTTAAATACAATAAAAATGACTACAAGCAAAAATAACTAAAATAAAATTTCACATTTTTCTGGTATTTTACATTATGAGCAAGAAACTGCCTTTTTTAGACAGTTGCAGTAAACAGCAAACATTATCCAGTATTAACTTTGTCGTCATCGTTAACGATGAGATACTGGTATAGATACCATATAACGTTTTTCAGAATCATTCTAAAATAAAGGAATAAGAAAATGCACCCGCATGCAATAAATAAAAAAAAAGTTATTGTGTCATATTAAAAATTAAAGTCGGTGTAGATGAACCAGATACATATAACATGTCATTCTTGGAACTCTTTTTATAGCTTTGATAACATTTTCGGTATTTAAATGGTAAAGTATCTTTATTACATTAAGGGTCTTTTACCTTTCAATGGCAGCAGCGAAGATGGGTATGCGCATGAGCTGGGTGCCCATGCCGGCCCACTGGGAGCCCATTCCGCTGTACACGAACCACAGCGGGCGGCGCGCGTCGTCGAAATACTCGCAATTCTCCGTCAAAGTCACTGTCTTTTGTTCCGCATTAGTATCTTTAAAGCGAGGAACAAATAGATAATATGCTTTCAAACACCTGTTAGTTTTCGTAAATACATCACAGCAAGCATGTAAAATTGTAAAGTATTTGATTGCACGGCATTTTGATTGTATGACGCCATTCAACAAACTCGTAATTGTTTCAAAACCAGAAACGTTCATAGGATGGGAAAAGAGACAAACTGCTGTTTAATTCAAACATACCGTTTTTAGTTCTCTGTTTCGTGATCGTCATTTGGTGTTGTTTACAAAACGTTACCAAAACTGTTATTTCTTATTGTATTATGAAAATTAAATCAATAATATTTTTAAATCACAAATAATGAAATTACTTATAAGCGAAAATATGATGAGGAACCCGAGGATGCAGTGGTTAGCGCGTTTGGTCTGCGTTGCTAAATTCAAGCAACTTTCGCAAGGGTCGATCATGAGATTGGTGACCAAAAACTTAGTATCTCGAACTCTTTCGTGCTTCGGAGGTATGTTAAACTGCTAATTCCGCCTGGATCTACAGTCTTTAACGGCCAGAAAACTGCACTGGGTGAGTATGGTGCGTCGCAGCCCATTTTCCCTTTTCAATTCGATCACACCCAGGCCTATGCACACCCAACTTGGGGACACTAATAATCTGACGATGATGATACGCATGCTACGTTTATTTTAAAATAAAATATAATACAAATTCAATTGAAAGCACAACGTTAAGTAAAGGATAATCTTCATACTATTAATGAAATGAAATTTCTTATTACCAAGTATTATAAAACCTCTGGAGAGATGACCAGAGATATTTGTGTTATGTATATTATGGAAGAGTGCCAGTTGTTCAGGATCCACGGGACGAGATTTCAAATCCTCAAATATTTTTTGGACTGCACTCTCATGTCTCGCCGATATCGTTACAAGATGAGGTATGCTTGACTTATATCGTGTATAGTCCTGGAATATAGTACATAAATATATCTATATGCAAGATTAGAATTAATTTGCTATATACTAATGATAATAACAGTAAATTATTATCTTCGTGACAACAACTGCCTGAATTATAAGGCTTTGTTTAATTCATCTTTATTCTGAAATACCTAAGTCTTCAAACACTTTTGATTGGGAAATCAGCAACAACGACAGGACATCCCGACTAAATACAATAATATCGAAAAGTTCGATTGGTTAATTAACTCAAATGAAATTTGAATTCAGATGCTTCAAAAGATCGTTAAACGTATTTTATAAAATATGATCATAAATTAACCTTTACTGTTATCAATATCATAGCACATCTCGTTAATTCATATGAGTGTCCCAAGTAATAGATTCTATACTTGCCTTGGGTTTATACCTGCCAGCGACCAACATGTGAGCGGTACACCCTGTGATGGAGTGGTTGTTGATGGCCACGTAGCCGCGTCGGAACGGCTCGTTCTCGGTGACGACGCGCATCCTGCCGTCATGCAGCGCGGGCACGTCGCTGCGCGGGCTCGAGCAGTGCAGGTTTGCCGGGATTTTGCCAGTGTGGTATCCCAATAATACCTGGCATTCAATAAAATTGATAAATCACGTCTTTTTATTCAGTGTTATAGACATATTTTACTTTTTTATTATTTGCAGAAATTAGACGCATACGTGACCGAGATTTATATCATGTTGACAGGGAATTTTTGGGAGTGTATTATGGAGAGTTTTAAAGTAGCTTCAGCAATTAAAATATTGATAACTAACCAAACATCTATTATGTTATATTATATATGCTATGCAGATGACACGAGGAGAGAATTTTCATTGTTTACATTGTTTTATAACGCAGCTAAGCTGAGTATGATGTAATTCAGAGTACATAATTTTCTAAAAAAAAAATTTACATAAAAAGTATTCAAGTTTATATTTTTACCTTCATTAAGGAACATAGTCCTGAAGAAGCCTCTGAGTATCCGATGTTAGAAAACACACTGCCAACCAACAAAGGGTTTATTCTGTTTTTGCAAAACACTTCAGCAATTGATTCTAACTCTGCTTTGTCTGCATCTGGTATAGCTGTAAAAATATTAACAATTAAATATTTACAATTATCAACATTAGAATTGGAATAAAATAAATAATACAACACTGCATTAGGCTACATTTTTATCTTATTTTATGTTAAGTGTATTACCTGAATTAGTTTTAATATGGAAATAAATAACTTTACCTGCTCCCATAGCTTCCACATATTCCACATCTTCAGGAGGAATGCGGACTTCATCGTAAAAGTTTTTCAAGAACTTATTTAAAACAATTGGATCTCTATAAAATCCGTGGTCAGCGGTCATCTGTATATAATCGTTTTTAATATGTACCAATTCCGCATAAGTCCTAGAACGTTAATAAAAAATATTTATAACTGTCATAAAATATCATAAAATTAATGTAACATTCGGTATGTCTGGATTTTTTATATATTTATTAAATACCGAGACTTAGCAAAACAGCCTAGACTGAATAAATGATTTTGGTTTGATTTGTATGGAAAAACCTTAAAATGCATTGGATCTTACTGCATAAGCTCAAAGACATAGCCTTGCCTGGATAATTTACACAATATGTTCTTTTTTTTTCTTTGTTTATTCTTTTGTTTTTGGCCAGTATTGTTAACTTAAGTACAAAGTATTTATAGTTGTAATATCTATCAGGTACACTGTATTCAGCACATTTTAATAGTATGGTAATATCCTCCTAGTTTTGTTGTTCTCTCGAATTTATGAAACAAAATTGTAACGTTTGAATTTGATAAAAATAGGCGCTTTAATTCTATTTTTGTTAAGTATTGGTACCTTTTGTAGCTCTATTATAATTTACAAAATTATTTTTCTATATACATGACTGCTTGTAGCATTAAATAAATGAAAAAAAAAGACTCAGATCATACTGCGATGAAACGCAAATCTGAAACTTTTGCTTATTTGTAACAGATAGTCTTCTATACATACGCACGCATTAAGCTATTGGAACTGCGAACTGTTTATTTTCAGCTATTTATAGATAGATAATAGACAAACAATGTCACTGATGTTGATGACCGCGTGCATTTATTTAAACTCATTTCGTTTCAGACATTAAATGGTACTTATGTTCAATGATATTAAAATACCTAAGTGATTGTATCGTTTTTTGGTAGAGTCCCGATTATCGCATTGTTATTTTTTTTTTAATAATTAACGAGCCGAAACAATAAAACAGGTAAGACTAAATACCTTAAGGCATCTTTCGCCTTTTGTAAAAATATTACTTGGATAGCTTCAGATTTAACACACCCATCGGCTTTATCATCGAAAGATTTAGTCTTGCCATCTGGACAGTTAGCTACAATCCTGAAATTTAAAACTATTTATCTTCAACTATGTTAAAATTTTAATCAAGAATTTGACACTTTTATAGAATACAACCTCGAAGTACCTCAAATTGCCACTTTATATTTAAGAATGTCAGGAACTAATTCCTAAAAACTTAGCACTATATTGTCATATTACCTGCCAGTGTGTATTGAGGATTGTGGATGCATGAACAAATTAGCACCACCCACGATAGCCGCCTCGCAATCACCTCTCGTTAGAGCCTGATACGCCTGAGTGAGAGCTCCAGAAGAGCTGCAGCAGGCCTCATCGATAGCCATGGAAGGACCCTTCAAGTTGAGCCAGTACGAAATACGGTTGGCGAACATGGACTTGTTGCATCTGTTAAATAAGATAACATAAATATCATTTTCTAATATCTAAATTTAATCAAATTAATTTATTTGTTAAATTTTTTAGCCAAGAGTGTTATATCCAAGTCAAATCCCAACAAAAATCTGCCTAGTTCGGTGTACAAATATTTCTTACATATAGACTTATAAACATATAGATATTGATTTTATCATGAATCATGAGAATTATTTAATAATATTAGATTGTTAAATTTAAAGAATGAATGAGTCTGTCTATCTAAAATTTAGTAAATATTTAGAACTTTCCAATACATCAAATAATTAATTTTATTAAAAACATTTTTGAAGACATTCACGATTTCCATTTTTAATAGTATAATAATTATAGATATTGCCTCTATAGGAATTTTCTAAAATATAACATTAATTGATGTACCTCATCCTGACGACATCAACATGTAACAGATATATACTACATATTTTCTTAGAGCATATATATGATCTAAGAAAATAGTCAATAGTACAAGGCCATCAAGCCATTAAGGCGCTTGATGGTCTTGTACTTGTTCTTCAAAAAGTATATTATTAATTATTAATCTTTATTTGTATGTAATGCAATGATAATAAATATATTAATACTATATGTGAAATTTGTAAATGACTTATAAGGACTTTAGTTCCTAGTAACACTAAATAAAGTCGTAAATTTTTCGAATACAATAAACTAAATAATTGTTCAATATTTATCTTTAAAAGTGTACAAGAACTTCATTGGCTCTTATGCTAATGTAATCACACATTTACATAAACCTTTGTCCAAATCAATGTCAGTGTCAACAAAATTAATTATGTATATCTATAATATACAATTAATTAGGCGTATTCGTACCGTTATTGTGACGGGTTACAGTATTTAGCACATATATTTTTAAAAAAATCATGTATTTTATATACTTATATAATAGCCGAAATTGAGTAATTTATTAACGTCTGTAAGTTTTCAGTATTCTTTATACAAATATTTAAGCTAACTCATTAATAAAATCGGCACATACCCGAGAATACCAAAGCCTGTCCTCACACTGGCTACATAGAAGGAAGCTTTCTCAGTCTCTGAGAAGCATGCACCGATGAATACAGCTATTTTCTTTCCATTCAATTGATCGGGGTTTAGACCTGAAATTAGAGAAATATAATTTTAATAGATTAACCTTGCAGTTTGTTACTATCCGTACAGCTTTTTGCTGTTACAGTTTATTTGACCTTATAAAAGTAGCGCAGATGGAAAGACATTTCTTGGAAATGTTATCAACGTCGTCTTGCTGTCTTGGCCTCATTTATTTTTAGTCAGGACAATGCATTCTTTTCTTTCATTATTCTCTGTATGCCGTCGTCTTCTGATACATGCATTTCTATTATAACGCACAAACACACACACACACACACGCAAACGCAAACATACACACATGCACGTTCACACTAACACACATATCATAACTCCCTTTTATATCCTCAGAGGACGATATTTCATTAGACAATGTATGAAGTTCCTTAGTAGTTTCGTAAACATGAAGCTACCCGTCGATGCTATTGCTTCCATATGCGTTTTAAATACCACAATTAGGTAGTACATTGTACTGAATCAAATGTTTTTCTAATAATCTATTCTATATTTAATTAATAAACAGTTACTAGTATTCATTACCAATTTAAATCTTGACCTTGCTACTTAAGAATTAAATATAGTGATTACCATAGAACAAACGCCCCTATTAGTATTAATTAATTCATGGAATAGAGACAACGGAACAAAAAACTTTGAAATAAATGTTATATGAATATATTACAATGGCGGAATCGTTAGTAAGAAATGAGGTGATAACTGATGAAAAAGAAAAGCAAAGGAATGAGAGATGGGTTTTTTTCATCTCCTCAACATTACTGCACGTTGACCTTATTAAACAATAATGAGCATTGAGCATTCTGTGGCTATCCCAAAAGTAGCAGCTAAAGTGAAGGCTAGACGAAATTAGTATGTATCACCGGCAAGTCGTCGCCAAGGGAAGTAATTAGGGTGAGAAAGTGAGGAATTATAAGTACAATTTGACATGTTCCGATTTGCAACTCTGCCAGAGTGGCTACCGTGGTGTGATAATAAAATATTATTATTATTTTATTGTAGAACAATTAGTAGAATTCTGGTAATAAAATTTACACGCTATAGTTCTCTACGGGATTGCTAGCAAGCATGTACCTTGTTATTATATCTAGAACTCAATAAAAACAAGGTACATGGTAGTAATAGAGTAGAGCACTATAATTCTAATGTAAATGAGCATAAATACTTAAAACAACTTTAAATGAGGTTTGGGTGTGGACTTTTTCTTTTTCTTCTAGGACGACATGAAAAAATATATTTTATTTATTATTTCAATTACAAAAGAAAATGAGTTTTAAATAAAATATCTTTAAAACTCCTATCGGTTATATTGTTTTGACTTTTTCGGGAATGGTAATTTTTTGTAATATGTAAATTTATACTAATTATTTTTTAACCACCACCAATGAAACACTATTATACCAGCATCATATAGAGCCTGATAAGTTTGCTCTAGGATTTTCCTGGACATGGCATCCATACTGGTACCGAGCCTGTAGTGGACCTTGAAGAATTGTGCGTCGAAACGATCCAGCCCAGGAATGGTGCCTGTGTGCCGCGATGCTTCGGGATGGTTCGATTTCCATCGCTTGTTCTCTGTTGAAATGGGATTCGTCTGGGGAATAAAGAAGAAAAACTTCGTCTGATTCCCGATTAGTTACCTTTTTTCCGAGGGTGGCTATGAAGTTTTAGGTTTATCATATTAAAATTTTCAACGGAGAAAATACATTTTTTATTTTTCCACGTTTCACATTTTATGAATAAAATTTTCTTTTCGGAATTCCAATCCAAATGTATGGCAAGAAATTGAACAAAAGGTTAATATTAAATTTTAAGTCTTATATTAAATACTATTAAAACGTGTTTTGTTAAGAAAAATAACTTTTAAATTAAAATTACTTATTAAGATAATTTGATGGAAATCGTACCTTAAATTAGGAGATATAAGAAAATATTATACTTCGTTCAATATTATATGAAAAAAAATAATTGAAAAAGACAAAAAGTTTTTACATCTTGTGTAGAGCCAAACGTCTCACTCTACATGCCCTAACTCACTCTACAAACCTTTGCAAAAATACGTAGCTTGGGCGCATCGGTATTACAAGAACTATTATTCTACTTATAATAGAGTAATGAACAGTACAGTACAACAGGAAGCGTGTGCAAACGCCAAGCCGTATGTTTTGGCCAAGTTGAAGAGTTTTATTGCTTGTAGTGGTGTTAGGGCATGTAGAGTGAGAAGCTTGACGCTTCATTAGATCTGAAAACTTTTTGACGGAAAACTATATGATGTCTTGGCATCATTTTTTGGTGGATTTTTTTATTAAACTAATTTCTTGATTAAAATCTACCTTGTTGTAAAGAATGTCACTGAATTCTTTGACATCATTGGACATCGGATATAGGCCGGATATTCCGGAGATGACAACAGCTTCTCCATCTGAATTCTCCAACGTTCCAACTTCTCCAATTTTCTGTTGAGGTTTCGGAGCCATATCGTTCGATGTCCGCTTAGCTACGATACCAGAAGTGATGTGAGGGGCCAATCGTGTAAAAGTTTCGTTCTTTTTTAAATAAATTAAAAATGTCGATGTTTCTATTTGTTTTCTATTGTATTTATATAAACTGTATATGTTTAGCATTAGAATGAATCTTAACTATTTCAGAGTTCCAGTGTTAAACATTTTTATGAGTTATTTAAGTTGATCTGTTTTTTATCAGGTTACTAAGTAACAAGTGGATATTTTTCTCTCACCTGCAAAAATAAATTTCTGTGCATTTTTCTTTTTTTTAACTTGACGTGTTAGTAAGGAAGTGCAGGTCGCTTTGAGCATGTATACACAATTTAAATCAAAATGTAAAGCTAATATGGAAGGCGTCGCATCTGTTGATAGCGCCGGACAGTAACCAATGGAACCAATGTATAATTAGAAGAAGCAAACTTATCGAGTTCGACTTCGTTTGTTTTGTCTTAACAAAAAGTTGCGCCCGTGATAATATCTACAGTCTAATGATGGAGCTGGTAGGTGGCAATGGGGAAGTAACGCATCCTGTCGAGTTGGGGCTCGTTTGATTTGTCTGTACAAGACAACGTTACAAAAGAAAAGATTGTTTATTTATAAGATAATTTGAATTCAGAATTATTTTAATATTTTAACCTTAGTCATCGACGTATTTGTGTAACATAATATCTTATTTTCATGTTATATTTTTAAATAAAAAATACAAATAACATTATATTTTATGTATGCCACAGGAACAGTCACCTACATCAAAGCTTGATTATAATTTAATTTTAAAATACAAATAATATTGTCACTGGCCATGGCAATTTTATGCACTGTTTCAATTTAGATATCACTAACAGTGAGTGATGGTCAGCACTGGGGCATCCTGGGGCAGTACCGACCATACCACCTCTACAGGTGGCATGGCAATGTAATGGAGTTGCCAGTTATCGGGCTAGATTTTAACCACCTAAATTTAGTACTAGTACAGCTTGACGATGGTGCAGAGGTCGATGGCACAGTAGTTAGCGCATTTGGCATGCGATGCGGAAGTTAAGCAACGTTCCCAACAGCTGGTCTTGGGATGGATGACCAAAAATTGGATATTTCAAGCTTCCGCCTGTATCTGCAGCCGTTAACACTCAATAAACCAAGAAATGATTACTACAACGTGTTCTTTTAACTTTCTTTCTGTATTTCAGTAATATTCTATTTTAAATATATTTCAATATAAATTATATTACACAATAAAGGCCTGTATACAATCGATACGGAATTCTCTCTAAATTTGAAGGAATTACAAATGTAGTATCTTATTCATGACCCCCATGACCCTGGAATATATTCATGACGTTTCGTATTTAGAATAGTGAAAAGCTTCGTGGCATTTAGAGAAATTGTTTAAGTCACATTATTTTTAAATTAAAGAATGTTTAATTCTCATTTCAATACTAGCTTTTGCCAACGGCTTGGTCCTGTATTATACATATAAAGCTATGTATATAGATGAAAACCGCATTAAAATTCGTGCTGTAGTTTAAAAGATCTCAGCATACAGACAGCGGGAAGCGACTGTGTACTATATTATGTATAGATTTCCGATTTTTGTCCTACACAATACGGTGCTGATTCCAACAAACACTAATATACGATAGAACGACAGTTTATTTATTCCATTCCACAATTTAGTATTAGATTGTTTAAAAAAAAAAGTATCATTATGGACCCCGTCGGGCACAACAATTTGGAGAGAGGGGAGGACACTGCTTTGAAATATTGATAATAAGTATTTCCTTTCTTTTATAAACTAAATAATTTATGTTTTGAAAACTTATCCATTTAGCAGATATTAAAATTAAAATACAACAGTAGAATATTCTATTTTAATTAGTTTGTATTTAAAGTTTTTCATTTAGGTATTCTTGTATGGTATTATAATTCTTTTCAGTTAATAAATTCTTTATTTGCTTTATGTAATCTTTTTCTTTATTTAAGTTTTTTATTGAGTTTGGTAGATTATTGTATATTTTTATTGACATTGCCAGTGGGCCAGTAGAGTGTAATTTTAAGCGGGAGGTTACTATGGTTATTTTATTCCGATTACGTAAATTATAAGTAGTTGTTTCTTCACGTTTTTTATACATATATATATGCAGGGTAATTGAAGAATTCGATACTTGTAAAAGTATGGTTTACAGCTGTTTATTTTGTAGGTTAAAGATGATGCGTATCAGTTTTTTCTGCAATGTAAATAAAGACAGAATGTCTGTGCTGTTTCCCCAAATGATAACAGCGTAGCAGAGCCATGCATATGCATGGTAGTTGGTAATCAATGCTGTATTGATGTCTGTAGTTTTTTTTCACTTCCCGTAATGCATATGCAAAGCTAGAAAACTTTTTACTCTTTAATTTTTGAATATGTAACTTCAAATTCATATGTGAATCATATACAAACCGAGTAAAGTGACTTCATTGACTGCTTCTATTTTGTGTTGGTAATTATTTTGATTTTTGTAAAATTTATTTTAAGATTATGTTTTTTTCATCCAGTCATCAATATTATGGAAAATAAAACCCAATTTACTATTGATATTTGAATCGGCCCTACGTTATAATCGGAGCGACACATCATCGGCGAATAATACGCATGGTTCATGCACAATTTTCGGAAGATCATTTATGTATACAAGAAACAGTAAACAACCGATTACACTCCCTTGAGGGATCGAGGCATTAGTTATTCTACCATTTGATCTAATGTTTTCTATTTCTTTTGTGTTATAGTTATAATATTCTACCTCAACAAACCGTTCTCTATTTTTTAAGAATGATTTTAACCAATTATATGGTTTTCCTCGAATACCTATTCCGTATATATTTTTCAATAATATGTTAAATTGTACTTTATCATAAGCTTTTGACATATCTATCAGTATCCCAATTGCAATTTGTTTATTATCAATTATATTTAAAATTTCTTGGATATATTTATAAATCGCCAGTACAGTAGATTTATTCTCGCGAAAGCCGTTTTGACACTCGTCTAATACTTTTTCTTTTTCACAGAAGTTATAGATGCGATTACACATAGTTTTCTCAACAACTTTAGATGCGTTTGGTTAAAGGGCTATGGGGCGATTATTGGTAGGATCTATTTTTTCGTGCTTTTTGTTTATAGGTTTTATTACAGATTTTTTGAAAAGGTCTGGAAATGTTCCTTCATTGAACGATTTATTGATACGATAAGTTGATTGAAACGGTATGGCAAGTTCAGGGGCGCATTGTTTAAACAATGAAGGTGGGAGGTCATCAACACCGCAGCTTTGTTTATTTTTTAGATTTTGTATAACTTTATGTATTTCATGAAATTCTACTCGTCTTAAAAATATTGGATATTCTGCAGGGCATAGGATGGGACAGCCTGTTGCTTCTACATCGCATTTTTCATCAATAGAAGTAAAGTAATTATTAAATGCATTTGCAACTTGGTTTGGATGTGTAAGAACAACGACGTTTATTTTTAATTTAAAATTTTGTTTCTCCTTTTTATTTGTTTTATTAGTGAGCTCTTTTACAATACTCCACATGGTTTTAAATTTATTTGATGATTTTTCTAATTTATTTATGTAATGACGTTTCTTTGCTATGTTGACTGACTTTTTTAATTTTTTTTTCGTATCTTTTATTATAATTTAATAAAATTTTATTTTTATATATTTACAATAGAGTTTTTAATAATCTTTTGTTCTGACGTGACTTTTTAGTTCCTACTGTAGGCCAATATTTCTTATAATTATTTTTTGTTTTGGGATACATTCATTAAGGATGTCAATTAGTTTATTATGAAAATCGTTATAATTCGCATTTATGTTAATACTTGATTTAAATTTATCAATATTAGATAAACTGAAAATACGTTTATTTATATACCAAATGTTTTTTTTCCCTAGGAGGGTGACAAACATGAATTATAGTTGCAAAGTGGTCTGAAAATTCATACAACAGTTGTATGAAAGTTTAGTTTATCAAAATTAGTGAAAATCTAATCTAAACATATTGAAGATGTCGGTGTGATGCGTGCTGGTTCTTTTATTTGATGTTTTAAGTTATGTTCAGACATTAAATTTAATAGTTTATTGCTTTTAGAATTATTTTTTAAAATCACCACCTAGAATAATATTATACATATGTAGGATATTTTTTGGTAACGTAATCTAGTATTTTTTTAATTGCATGTAGAAAGTGTCTTCTGATCTCCCATTCCAATATTAAACCATTAATAATATTTTTCCTTGAGACAATTCGATCGCACAAGCTTCTAATACAAATTCAATAGACATGTGTGATATTTTATATAATTCAACATATGCATACGCCACCGCCGGTTGTGTTTTTCTTGCAGTAAGATGCTACTATTTTATATCCCGGTATGGTTACCAGCTCTAATTTCGAGAGAGTTAGCCAAGATTCTGAGAAGCAAATGGCTCGGTAAGCAGTATTTTGATCTAGGAAAGCTGCTAGGATATGTTGTTTGTTGTTATGGCTTTGTATATTTTAAATTGAGATTTTTGTATCAGCTTGTTTCCGAAAGGAACTATTATTGTCATTTTGTTCATTAGCCATGTTATGAGATATTTTTAAAGACTGTCCATTGCTTACTGAATTGTGTATTTGTCCATTTATATAAAGTCTGTTGTTGCGTATTATGGCGTGTTGTCCGTTTCTACGCGCAACAAATATTTTTTCTCTCAAAGAATTTCTCTTTTCTTGTTCTATTTTGTTCAAATATACAGAAACCTAAAGCCTTGTTCCAAAAAGATATTGAGAATTATGTAATACATATTTTACCATTTTCTTACTCAACAACTCAATCACCAGAGGTCTGTTGGACATGTCAAGGAGAATATTTAAAGTAAAATATATCCAAAGGAGAAGAGTTTATTTGCATAATCTGCGGAGTCCCATTCACAAACTGGAGTCGTAATGGCGAAATAAAAAAGAAGTTGTCAAAAATATAATGTTGCATAAAAGCTCCGTTGATTATTATATATTTACCCCTGGTTACCGCAATATACCACCAGTTTTAAATTTGGAAGTCTTGTCTGAGAAGAACTGGCGAAACGAACTCTGACAAGAAAAGAATATACCGCTGGATTAGTCACATAAAATCTCAATCCAGATCATACGTTGCAAAACCAAAGGATACTTCATTATGTTAATATTAAATCAAAGGGAGCAATTCACTTTTTCTTGTCGGAGTTTGGTTTGACAGGTCTTCTCAGTCAAGACTCCCAAAATTTTGAACCTTCAAACCAAAATTATTAGACAAATTCAAAATACAATAAATATGTGTATTGTGAATTGTAGTGTGAAATATTAATTTTAAGGGAGCTATACACTTAATTAAACAGACAAGTCACAAACACCTTAGTCTTATGTGAAAACGGAACCTGTAAAGGATCCGAAATGTAAATAAAACTATTTACAAACATGATGAAACCGTTTAAAAGTTGTCATTAATGTTTAATAATTCAAATAATCTGTAGTTTGTCAGTATTGTATTATCTGGTCTGTGGGTTTACGTAATTTAGATTAGATCTTCGAATGATCTTGATAAGACTTGATACAATATTAATTAATATATTAATATATTCCAGCAGGAAAATAGTTATTTAGAAAAATTGTTTAAAATGTAACATCTGTAAGTCTGGCAATGTTTTAAATAGGATACATTGAATAATGTTGCCTTCCATAAAACTAGTAATGTATCTTATATGGTACATTCAATAACTACTAAAGTATAGATTTTTTTATTATTTTTTATTACCAAATACTCTTCTATATTTGCTTAGACGTACAATTTAAGGACACAAAATAATAATTTAGAAAAAATAATGTTGAGCAAAGTATAAGGTTGACGTTATATGAACTTTTTGACTCCAAACTTCATAATCATATCTACAACAGCGAACTGTTTAACTCTCCTTAAAAAAACAGCTGCACTTTAATGGTACTTTTAAACAACACTGCATTAAAAACTTGACTAAAATAGGAACATATTTCCGTTGTAACTAGTAAGATAATGTTCAAATGAATAATAATTATACTTAGCACTTGGCATTTTATCTATTCGTAAATAGTCATAAACTCATGAAAACTGCAGAAGTCATTTTAAAACTGTTTAGAAACCACAAAGCCATAACGTGAATAGCTAGACATGTTTCTAAAAGTTTTTGTTATCTGCCATTTTTTTGCACTAATGAAAGGAGGTGTTGTAGAACGAAACTCCACTCCCAATCAATTTAATTTTGGTGACAGCACAAAAGCTAATATTAACACTTTATTTACTGATCATGAGATTATGACAAGTAATGATAAAAAAAGATTGCCTTACGAAACATTTGATCTCACGGATAATTATTTGTTTAAAACTAAAACTGAAGCAGATATTTTAAAAAAATATGCTAAAACCTTAATAGGAAAAATTGATAAAGAAGAAATACCAGATGAAAAGTATTCCAGTTCAGATGATGATTCTGAAGGATCAGAAAGTGATCCAAAAACTAGAACAAAACGGCAACTAGGATCTGGGGATACACAAATGGTAATTGGGACATTTCAAGCTATGATAAGACCAATGAGCATACCCAATATCAATAACAATTTGTTAAATTCCAACAATTCTGTTCAAAATTATAATGAAACCGAAGAAACACATTAGAATAAAATTATTGTTATTTTTTTTCACTCTCTAGTATTTGTATTAAAAGCTTATTTAAAAGTTGACGTAGGTACACAAGTGAAGAAATTTGTATAACCCGATGTGCTGTTAACTGTACATTTATATTTATGTAGCAGATTTCACACATGGGCTTAATCATAATGAGGAGAAAGACATAACATACTTATATGATACCTCCATAATTCGAAGAATATTTCGTGACTACGGAGATATTATAAGAAGACTTTGAATCAAATGTCAATAACAAGGTTATGTAGGTGAAGGTGAACGCATGGAGAGCAAAAGGAAGACCTCAGAAAAATAGTAAGGGAGTGAATTGATGAGAAAATGACTCACAGATAAGAACGGAAAAAGAGGACCAGCTGTGCCAACTCCATATAAGCTTGGAACTCGAGATACGATGTTATCGATATTAACCCGACTAGGCGACGCAAAGGCGGGTAATGTGTTTATCAGTCTATGTATGTATGATGTTTGTTTCTATGTGGCGTTCTAGAAACCAAATGCGTAGGCCGATTTTGATGATTCTTACGTCAATCGATTCGTCTTAACCTTGCGAGTGTCACTAAAGATATGACAGTAATCAAAATTCACCACAGCGACAACCAGACGCCATATTGTCAAAATGAAAAAAAAAAATGATGAACTATGTCAAGTGGGGTGTCGTTCAATAGGTATTTTAAAATCATCTTTATGTTTCTTTTATCATTTTTCATTTTAAATAATAGTTTAGGATATATAACGATTTAAAGTTTGCGAAATTTACCATCTTATAACGAAGTCAACGAATCGTAACTAAAAAGTATAAAATAAAAATAACAAATTTAAAGAAAAACTAATAACCTGACTGCGTAAAAACTAATTTTTAAAAATACATAAAAAAATAACTTAAATAAATACTAAAAAGAAAGAAGCAAGCCCAGTATTTTAGAATTCTGTTAAGTAATACTAAATAACTTTCTGGCTTGAATCAACATAATTAATACAATTCCTTTTTGCTTTCCCCTATTTCTCCAATTAAAGGTTAAATTCAATATATGTTGTTTTAAACTTTTATGGTTATTAATGTTGTTAGTAACTTACTGTTATCAAGTTCTAATATATTCTTGATATACAACGCTGTTATAAGAACATAAAGTAATATCAGTCTAGATAAAATAAAATACAAAAACGAAGTTGTATAAATATCGGTTGTTTTAAAGATATCTGTCGAGTAATATTGTAAATAAAATCATGAATCTCGATGGAAAGGTTGTAATAGTGACGGGCGCAAGCTCGGGCATCGGTGCGAAAGCAGCAGAGTTTTTCTGCAGGGAAGGTGCTAAAGCAGTGCTCGTGGCCAGAAATGAAACCAAATTAAAGAGTGTCTCTGAGAAGTGCAAAGCGGCTGGTGGGAGTCACATCGTTATCAAAGCTGATGTCTCTAACGACGAGGACACTAAAAATATAATTGATAATACACTAAAAGAGTTTGGGAAGATCGATGTGCTCGTCAACAATGCAGCTGTTGGGTGCTACGGCAATATTTTAGATGGAAATTTTGTGAAATCATACGATAGTATGGTTAATATAAATCTCCGAGCAATATTGCAGCTGACGTGCTTAGCAACGCCATATTTAACAAAGACAAAAGGTAATATAGTGAATATTTCTAGTGTAACTTCATTCGCCAGCCCTAAAGGTACTATTGGGGCATATGGTTTATTGAAAGCGGCTCTCAATTATTTCACCAAAACGGCCGCAGCAGAGTTAGGGTCATCAGGAGTACGCGTTAATACTATATCCCCTGGACCAGTTTATACTGATATTTTAGAGAATAGCGGAGCCCGCTTTAGTTTTGATCGCTTGGAGGCTACCACTCTATTACACAGAGTAAGTGAACCCGACGAAATCGCCGACCTTATCTTATATTTGGCAAGTGATAAAGCTAGAGGTATTACAGGTTCAAACTATGTTATTGATAATGGAGTGCTATTGAAGAAATCAAAATAGATTACAAATATAACATTTTTCTCAATTGTAACTATGCTATTATATTTTTTCTCTGTTCCAAATAAATATATTTAGATACCAAGACAGAACCTTGCGTTATTAATTCATTTTATGAATTAAAATGATAAAATTGATAAATAGGCGAAGATTGGTGTACTTTAGTAATGTAGTGTACCTACATATAAATATTATACTATACATAAGATAAAAAACTTTGTTAAGTAAACATTATAAAAATATAATATCTTTAATTAAATTTTATGGAAAAATACTAATAATATAAAATTATATAAAAACCTGATATTGTTTATAATGAGTAAATTTCAGAAATAATAAAAAATGAAATTTTTTGAATTTTTTTTTTACACAAGGACAAACACATCTGGTTTGTTATTATATAATTTTTGCGCTTACACTAGCTCGAGACGCGGTTACTGCGCGGGAGTGAAACCGCGACGCGCCGGCTCGCGCATGCGTGCTGTAGCCTGTGAAACACGAGAGTCACGTACACAGTTTATTATTTGAGATGCATGTCGCATGCTTTGTTTCAATTGTAATTTAAGGGGCTGAGGACACTGAATGATTTTTAGAAATCGACACGCCCCCTTACATAATTACAGGTGTCTACGCTAGTGTGGGTTAGCTCATTCCACGTTCCTCAGAAGAATAACAAATGCCTATCGGTTAAGCGCCAACAGACAAACTTTGTACTAATAACAATGACGTTTTATAACCATCAAGTGCTTTGAGTTAGCTGTCTAAAGTGCTTACACAATAGGTGGCGCTGAATTTTTTTAAAAGAAAGGAATAATTTATTTTTACTCCAGTTTTTTATGGGGCTTAGAAAGGACAAGTATTTTTTTTGGGTCGACAAAATAACATGCTATTATTTTGTCTGTTTCATATTTCAGAATTTTATTCTAATTCATTGATATTTTAAAAAATGCTTTGCATTGAATAATGAAAAGATTTAAAATTTAAAGAAATATAAAATAACTATATAAAATCACTTATGATACCACACATCACATCACATTTCTTCACTCGATTTTAAACCTTAATGTAGTAAAGGTAGAGTTAAAATAATTGCGATAATTTGATAGACTGTAGTAACCTGACTTGCTGCTGTGTGTACCTGATAATGTCGGCCAATCAGAATAAACCAAATATCACGTCATGGCACCTAATCCCCGCCGAGTTTGATTGAGACGGACTTTCATACCTTATTCTCATTACAAGAAGAGTCATTATACATTTTAATTGTACGAATTTTTGGTAGGTCGGCTTTACGTTAACGAATATTCACCATATGCAATATTAATTGAAAGTCATTGAAGTTAGTACACATATCCATATCGAACTTGCCGGAGGAGGAGAAAAAAAGCAATTTTAGAATCGTTTTTATGAGAATATAGGGTAGACGCGCCTGTTTCTACCATTGTCTTGCTGTATCACATTTCATGGCCTATTTAAAAATAAGAATTGGACTCTACCTGATCTTTGGACTGGAGTTAATAAAACATATCCTGTTTTCATAACTTGAAGAAAAGTTATTTTTTCCTCTAGCCATGATCCTTTTATGGAGGTGGAATGATATTTTGTAATACTGACGCATCATCAAAGCATAGGACTGGTTGACCGGTTAGGATAACACCATTAAAACACAATCATTTTATTAATCCCATAAATATAGATTATTTCAAAGTTGCCGTCAGACATTTTTTATTTGATACTGGAAAGCGAACTGATTCAAAAACAATATCTTAAAAGTCTATCCATATTTTAAATAGTACATTAAGGATAAAGGATTGTAGGGAAGGCAAAGTCATCCAAAAACACTCTTTTTTTGAACTCCGAAACAATCATAATACTACAATTATTAAATGAAAATTCACTAAAGTTTTTACAGATAAACTTATCATTGGCTTAGATAGTTTTTGTCATGGAAAATGTATTTTATTTTAAAAGAAAATTGTCTTTAATTTATAAAAAAATATATTCTTGCACCAAAAATATGACATATAGATGTATCACAACATCTGTAGCTGTAATTAAAAATATAGAGAAAAAACTGTTTTGTCCATCGAATCCCTATTAAGTCCTTTATTATCTAAGCAGAGATATAACTTTACTTTCCAGTTTATGAGTAAACATATAAGTATGTAGTGAAATTTCATTTCAACTAAACATAATTAACGCACATTCTGAAAGTAGTTTGTTTATATTTCGTTATACTAACATACAGTTAATAAATACATCGAAGTGCCTAAGGATTATGGGATATATGATAGCAAGACTATGCTAGCTAATTTTCATAACAAATAAGAATCATAATTATTGCCTTAACTTAAAAAATACTGAAGCCGTAATTTTCACGTCATTGTGTTGATTTGTAAAATGTCAACACCGTTACCCAGCAATAAGTATAACTGTGTCATAAACAATGTTTAATTTTATTTATAAATCCATTTTCTAATTGGGTTGTATAAGGATGTGCGTTATTTCTGTTACACGTTTTATACTTATAACAAATCTGCAAAAAAATAATGTCTGTACATTGAATATATTTACAAAAAAAGAAAGAAATTGAGGGTGGTTAATAAACAATAATACATTACGAATTTAAAAAATATTGTCTGTTTATCTGTATGTACACGTTAATTTTCGGGACTACTGAGTATATTTGTATGAAACTTATTTTGTTAATACCTGGGCAATATATGGGGTATAATTAATTTTGGAAACTTAAACGTTTGATGCACAACCACAACAGACCAGCGACACCTTAAGAAAAATTTTTGTGCCTGTTCAATATATTCTGCTAAGAGTACAAAAGTCAAAGATCCAGAACATATAATGTGGTCCTCAAAGATACTTGTTATACTATAACATCGGATAAAAATGACTTCTTAACAATAAATAGTTTTTTTATTTATTGACATTTTTTGCACAAATACACATTGGCGTACTTAATGCCATGGCCATTTTCTACCAGTAAACCTTAGGATGATGTGGACACGGGGTTCTCTCTATTGTTGTACAGGGCAAGTTCGTGACCTTGTTGCGTACAACAAAACGCGGGAAAGGGAAAGATCTATGGTTAGCGATACGTATCGTTGTCTTTCAACATTTACTAAGGTTTATTGTCCGTTTTTTCGTCTACTCTAGAAACAGACAATGCAATGTGTCAAAATTAGATAATCTCTGATTAGATAATTTGGATTTAATTTTAAATATATTAAAATTAACTTTGTACATAATAAGACGGCAACATCATTATCCTAATTTTATAGTAATTATGTATGTATATACATACATACATAATTACTATAAAAATACATAAATCATAAAGTAATCAATGATTTAATGAATTTGCTTGTTCCAAACAATGAAACATTTGCTATAGAATAATTTGTTTTTAGAAGCTAATTTATTATTTATTGATAATTCTTGTAGACACAAGTAGAATGGAAATTCATCCCACAAAGGAATAGATTTGACGAAGAACGAAGAGTGAACGATTTCGGAGAAATGAGATGGTCAAAGAGATGAACAAAGAGTTTTGGTGTGAAAGGTACATAAGTACTGTTAAGATAAGAAAGAGTATTTGGAGATTTTAGCAGAGAGGATAACGTAGTTAAAGCACGCATACTTCTTCGCTTCCGGATGGACGTCCATTTTGAATTTTAACGATATAGGGACACATGATCAAATTTTCTAAGAATAAAAACGGATAGAATCTTCGGTCTCTAGAATCCAGTTAAGCCAGTGAAAAACTGACCATCATCATACATTGCCCAAAATCTTTAGATCTACCAGAAAATTAGATGAACCACGGAATTCTGATCGACTTCGATATGCTGTTGAGAGAATAAAAGCTGCTGGTATGGAACTGAAAATTACCAGTTTTTCTAATGCCCAACTTTGCCTTGTTGTTTTAAGGGTTAGCAAAGTATCTGGGCTTTATATTTTGGCACCCGAATAAAAAAAAACACCAATAAAGTTTATAAATTTCATCTTAAATATTATTGTTAATCATATATACCGTTGGCACCGTCAGCAGACTGTAGAATTTTGGTACAAAAAGAATTCTACCTTTACAGGTTCATTAAGTTATAACCTACTCAATCCACAACATACAATTTAAGCTTACAAAATCTTTGGTATGAGACAACACGAACGAAGATGCGGGCACCAGATAGTGATAAATAATATAACGGTGTAATGAATCTTTACAAGTATATTGGCCAAACATAACCTCAGTAAAAAGTTATACGAAAAAATGAAACAATAACAAAAACTTACTATAACCCAACCTTTCATCTTATTTGAGGTTGTTCAAGATATTTATTGAGCAACACATTATTCGAATAGTTGCCTCTATAGAATAAAATTTATGAATTTCGTTGGGATCGCCAGTTTAAAGCTGCTTTCTTTATGCAGATGATACCTACCATAGTGCTTACATAGAATCCATTCAATCTGCAAATTAAGCGATAGTCATGGAGCAAGATTATGAGTGATGAAAGGCTTAAAATTCAACGTGAATAACACATAAAATATTAAACCAATGTACTATTTTCAGAATAGAACTATTCACACCGTCATTAACTGGTCGTCCTCTTTTAATTTTAAATAAGAGTGAAGTTATACTTCACGGAATTGTCACTGTAAACAAATCTATTTTGTGATTATCTTTTACCAAAGGAGGCAATTTGTCTATATAAATTAAAAAAGAAGCATTGAGCACTGTGAAACACCCATGATAGGTGTTGATCTATTGATTCAGGGGATTTCTTGTCACTGATATGAACCTCCTACAAAGCCACTGAACTAAGAGACAGCAAAATCTAACTAGTTATCTCTAAATTCATAATATGAAGATTCGTTATATATTTCATGAACACCATAATTGACAGCTTTAAGTACGTCACAGAAAACACCTAAAACTTTGTGTGAATTCTCCCAGGCATCAACAATTTGTTCTAAGATTCCGATAT